GAGGCCCGGGTCCGCGGGACCTCCACGGAAGCCGGCTCGGAGCGGCGCGTCAATACCGCGTTCCCTGGCCGCGTGACCTATAAACGCCAGAGCGGCCCGGGCCTCTAGGCCCCGCCTCCCCACCCCTGCAGGGTGGGGCTAAATGCCGGAGTGCGTCACCTACCGGCCCCCTTCAGTTTCCATTTGGAAACTTTATGCCCCTCTGAGTAAGGCTCGCAGGAACAATAAATTTTAGAAGGTAACAGGAAAGATCTAACAGAAAGATACAACTGGAAAACAAACTCGGGGTAATTGAGCTACTTTTGCTTTTCCAGCACTTCCGGCCTCTCCCCAAAAACAACAATTAAAACACCTTGAAATTCAAATTACCGCAAAAGGGAATTCTGGGCCCTGTCAAACAAGGACAGTAAGGAAGTTTAGAAAGCTTCGGAATGCCAATAGACTTTTGAGTGAGGAACAATTATGATTAGAAAATCATAACAACAATGAAAAGATATAGGGCTGTGGAGAAAGCAATTAATAATCCTAAACCTGGACTGGCAAGTAAATGGTAATTGAGTGCGTGCGCTAGAGCGGAAAACCTTTTAATAAACTGAGGTTTCTTTTTAAAAATATTAAAATACATCTTATCATGATTAATATGTTTTGGAAAAACAAGCTTTGAGGTCAGAAATAGTAATGTTTAAATCCAAGGTCTCTTGGTGGATTTGAGACCTTGGGAAACTGTTCTCTTCCAAGGATCAGAGTTTGCATAATTCAGATAAGCCAGTCCATGTTTCAGGGTCATTCTGAGGGTTAGACAAAGAAACAGAACAGTGAGTGACAAACCCGTGGGCAATAGGTCTTCCTGAAACCTGCCCCTAAGGATACCACACACTAGACACAAAAGATATTTTAAAATAAGGCTATTCAGGACAAAATAATTTAGACCCGAGTAAATCCCCTCCACACCAGGTACGTAGGAAGTGCACTTAACTTGATGGCAGAGCAAAGTCTTTGCTCCTATTTTAAATAAGGCTATTCAGGACAAAATAATTTAGACCCGAGTAAATCCCCTCCACACCAGGTACAGAGGAAGTGCACTTAACTTGATGGCAGAGCAAAGTCTTTCTGCTCCTATTTGCTTTTCAATCTTCAGATCAAGCAAAAAGAACAAACCCTGACAAGTCATCCTGAAGAGGAAGTTTTAAAAGAACAGTAACTTTTTTTTAAGATCAAATCTGTAAGATGAGATGATTTAACTGTAGGAAGAGAATGGATGGGAAAGGTTGCACATGCTCTTTCTCTTGGTTCTCCCATAGTATATCCAGCTTTGATTTGTTTTCAGCACAGTGTTTTGCCTTGTAGGATATTTCTTTGTATAATTAGGATAGTTGTGTAGTCATCTTAGTAGCTACTGTGATACCAGATACAAGGTCTTGAAGATGTCGTGGGTTCAATAAACATTTGTGAATAAAGTAATGCTATTATATAACATCCATTAGTTGGCATCAGAATCCATTATGCATATTCATGGCAATTAAGGATGGAAAAAATGTTCTCCAGGGTCTGATATTTAGCTTAGTGGCACCGCACCTGCCTCACAAGCTCAAGGTCCTAAGTTAAAAAAATGATAATAATGTTCTCCAGATTTTCAAAAACAAGAGTGTTGGTGCCAGGAATTTAGCTCAGTGGTTCGGCCTCCTGCTTCACAAGTGCAAAGTCCTGAGTTTGATCTCCAGAACCAAAAAAATAAATACATAACCAAACAAAAACATGAGTGTTAACTTTAAAGATTATAGATACCAGCATTCACAGAATACAGTGAGGATTGTAAGCATATGGTTTGTGAACATAGGAAAAGCAACATGTAGTTACTGAGGCCAACCTTTTGCTAATCTCCTTGCTTATATATTTCCTTTATCTGTAAAAACTTCCACCCATCTTATACACCTATCAAATCCACTGATATTTTTCTGTTGCTATAAAATAATACCACCAACTGGGTAATTTATAAAGAAATATATTGTCATTAAACGTGCCTATTTCCTTATTTATTATTTCTTTACGGTGAAAACTTTCAAAATCCTTCCCATTTTTGAAATGTACAATTTACTACTCTTATCTATAGTCATCTTATTGTGCAGTAGCCCAGCAGGACCTGATTTAAACAGTACACAATGTAAACATGTATTGAAATATCCTATGATATCCCATTAATAGAGACAATATTTGTTTTTAAGTGTCAAAAATTAATTGATAAAGAAGAGGAATTCACTTTCTCACAGTCCAGGAAACTGGGAAGACCCACCAGGACTAGTATCTTCTGAGGGCCCTGTCTCTTGCTTCCAAGGTGGCAATTTGTGGCTGTGTCTTCACATGACAGAGGGGTAAAGGTCCCTTTAGCCCTTTTATAGAAGTACAAGTCCCATCCATGAGGGTAGAACCCTTGTTACCTCATCACCTCCTCATAGCCCCACCTCTTAATACTGGATTTTTCAGGCAACACAAACATTCAAATCATAGCACTTTTCTCAAATTCTCCCTTTCTCATTAAGCCATACCTGTTCATCCAACAGATCTGCTGAACACCCAAAACCTTTTTTATTCAAATCAAATATTTTGTATCCTTTATTTCAAATGGGATAATGTTTATAAAAACCGCCTTTATTAAGTGCCACAAAAATTGAGTGTTTATTGAGCACCTACTCTGAGCTTCGTGTCACTTTCTGTTCCATGACACGAAATCTGTGTTATTTCTGTAGACCGAAGCTCTCAAAGAATAGGTATGCTGTCTTATTCATCTTCATAGCCCCAGAACCCAACACAGTGCCCTGAACAAAGAAGACATTTAATAATGTCTTTGTTAGGAGCTTCTAGAATTTTTAATCTCACTTAATATATTAGCAAGTCTATATGGTAGCTGTGTCTCTAATAAGCCAGAAGATGTAACTATGCTAGTGCAGGATAAATAGCAGTAAACAAGGGCAAGACATTTAGCTCAATGGCTCTGCTGCCTGCCTCTCAAGTGCAAGGTCCCAAGTTCAATCCCTGGTACAAAAAAAATATATATATAGATAGATAGATAGATAGATAGATAGATAGATAGATAGATATGTGGCAGTGAACAAGACAGTCTCTGCTCACTTACTTTACAGATTAGAAAACTGAGGCTCACCATAGTCACTTCATTTTATTACATTATATTTTCTATAGTAGTATTCATAGTTTTTTGTTTGTTTTATATAGTTTATAGAGTTTGTGTTTGTGGTATGTTTTGAAGCCACTCCCCAAAGATTCACATTTACTCGTGTAAGCCAACATTCAACCTAATAGCTTTGAGCTGGAGGCTGTCTTTATAGCTGGCTTCCTGCAAATGAGGCCTTCACAGCACACAGGCCTGGTATCTATAGCTACACACAGGGCCAGTCCAGGGAATGAGTACAAGCTCTGTGTGACACACAGGAATTCAAAACCAGCAAACATTCTCTCCTCTTCTTGTCCCAAAGATGACAGCCTCCACGCTCCCTTTGCTTCTTCTATCTTTGTTCTCTGACATGCACTATCTTGATGGGTACCAAGCACAGCTGAAATTTCTATCTAAATACTACACGCTTCAAACTTGAGAACTACTGAACAGCTACAACCCAGACAGCTCACCCTGCACTAGCTCACAGCCTGCAGACAGGAAGCCAGCCTGCTCCGGCCACACACGCACTGTGCATCTAACATGAGATGGAAGTGTGTTTACTTTTGCAGACAGCCAGCTCAGTGTCTGCTTACTCTCCAAGAGAAGTCATGTCAAAAGCCACTAAGTGGCTTTCCGGCTTGCCGTACTTCTCCAAAAGCAATTTCTGCGTGAAACTGGAGCTTCGGGCATTTCGTACCAGGGCACATCTGGGATCATTTTACCCATTAGGGAAAGTGGGGCCACTGAGAATTGGGCATTCTCAGAGTAGGGGTGAACTGTAAAGTGGGGACTCTCTGGGTGGGTTTTCTGCCCCAGGCAAATTCACTCCATGTCCCTAAAGAATTACTTCAGTTAATGTTTAATGTTATGGTCTCAAGGTGCATGCATTTTCCTACAAATGACTCAAGTTTATCCTTTTTATGGTGGACTAGTATTCCACTGTGTACAAATACCACCTTTTTATATTCATTTAACTGTTGATGAACACATAGACTATTTTCAAGATTTAGCTGTTATGAATTATGCCACTATAAACATGGTACACATATATCACTGTGGTAGAATGTCTTTAACTATTTAGGAATGTTCTAGTCAAGGTTTGCAAGGGAGCAGATTTAAACAAGATACATAATTTACAGGATTATTTTATAATATTCACCCAAAAAGTCAAATGCAGAGGAGTGCAAGAGATCTGTCCACCCACTAGAGACCTAAAGCATCCAGCCAAGTGAATCCCACAGCAGAGTCCTGTGCAAGTCCAGCTGAAGGCCTAGAGTCCAATGCAAAGTCCTCCATGAGTCCAGCCAGAGGCATTGGGCCCACAGCAATGTCTCATGCAAGTCCGCATTAAGGATCTGCACCGGGAAGGCCCAAAGGCCCGTGGTGGAAGCCAGAAGGCCTGCCCCTGCAGGGTAAAGGATCTGTGTCACCATGCTGAGGGATCTAGACTGGAGCCAGTAAGCAGCACTCAAGGTTAAGGTCAGAGGTCCCCTGATGAGAACAATAGCCATTCCCAGTGACAGCAAGATCCTGAGCTCCTCCAGTGACAAGAACAGCCAAGTTTGCAACTTCTCCAAGAAAATCAACAGCAGACAATCTCCTCCCGTTCTTTTCTATGCCATTGGCAACAAGCCACAACCACACGGATTCAGTTTGACTGAGCATTCCAAATGGACCACTAATTAATCCACCACAGGGAAGATACTAGAAGAGGAATAGCTAGGTAAAATGGAATTTCCACCTTTAGTTTGTTGAGGAATCCCCATACTGATTTCCATAGTGGTTGCATCCATTTACAGTCCCAGCAACAGTGGAGAAGAGTTTCTCTGCATAGCCTCACCAGCATTTGTTACTGGTTGATTCCTTGATGGTAGCCACTCTTCTGGACTGAGATAAATTTCAGTGTTTTAATTTGCATTTCTCACACAACCAGCAATGTTGAACATTTTTCATGTATTTATCGGCCATTTGTATTTGTTCATCTGACAAATATCTGTTCATTTCAGATGCCTGTTTTTAATTGGGTCTT